TTTTACAATAAAAACAAGATATGTTTGTAAAACATGTATGCCCCCTATCAGCAGCCAATTAGTCATGTGATTAGATTATTATGCATGACTTCTGACCCAGTGATCAAACAATTAATAAGGGTTATCAAGTATCTACTGGTCATGACCTTAACCTTTGACCCCTTGACCCAAAACTCAATAGTGGTCATCTGCTGGTCACAACCAATCATCATACAAAGTTTGAAGTTCCTAGGCCTAAGCGTTTTTAGGTAAGTGATCAGAAACCGTTTTTAACATACAAGGTCAAAGTGACCTTGACCTTTGACCCCAAAATCAATAGGGGTCATCTGCTGCTCATGACCAATCACCATGCTAAGTTTGAAGTTCCTAGGCCAAAGGGTTCTTTAGTTATTGATCAGAAACCATTTTTACTTACAATGTCAATGTGACCTTGACCTTTGACCCCTTGATCCCAAAATCAATAGGGGTCATCTGCTGGTCACGACCAATCATCATACAAAGTTTGAAGTTCCTAGGCCTAAGCGTTTTTAGTTAATTGATCGGAAAATGTTTTTACCTACAAGGTCAATGTGACCTTGACCTTTGACCCCTTGACCCCAAAATCAATAGGTCATCTGCTGGTCATGACCTATCACCATACCAAGTTTGAAGTTCCTAGGCCTAAGGGTTCTTTAGTTATTGATCGGAAACCGTTTTTATCTAAGAGGTCAATGTGACCTTGACCTTTGACCCCTTGACCCCAAAATCAATAGGGGTCATCTACTGATCATGACCAATCACCATACCAAGTTTGAAGTTCCTAGGCCTTAAGGTTCTTTAGTTATTGATCGAAACCGTTTTTGCTTACAAGGTCAATGTGACCTTGACCTTTGACCCCTTGACCCCAAAATCAATAGGGGTCATCTACTGATCATGACCAATCACCATACCAAGTTTGAAGTTCCTAGGCCTTAAGGTTCTTTAGTTATTGATCGGAAACCGTTTTTTGCGTACAAGGTCAATGTGACCTTGACCTTTGACCCCTTGACCCCAAATCAATAGGGGTCATCTACTGATCATGACCAATCACCATACCAAGTTTGAAGTTCCTAGGCCTTAAGGTTCTTTAGTTATTGATCGGAAACCGTTTTTTGCTTATAAGGTCAATGTGACCTTGACCCCTTGACCCCAAAATCAATAGGGGTCATCTACGGATCATGACCAATCACCATACCAAGTTTGAAGTTCCTAGGCCTTAAGGTTCTTTAGTTATTGATCGGAAACCGTTTTTGCTTACAAGGTCAATGTGACCTTGACCTTTGACCCCTTGACCCCAAAATCAATAGGGGTCATCTACTGATCATGACCAATCACCATACCAAGTTTGAAGTTCCTAGGCCTTAAGGTTCTTTAGTTATTGATCGGAAACCGTTTTTGCTTACAAGGTCAATGTGACCTTGACCTTTGACCCCTTGACCCCAAAATCAATAGGGGTCATCTACTGGTCATGACCAATCACCATACCAAGTTTGAAGTTCCTAGGCCTTAAGGTTCTTTAGTTATTGATCGGAAACCGTTTTTGCTTACAAGGTCAATGTGACCTTGACCTTTGACCCCTTGACCCCAAAATCAATAGGGGTCATCTACTGGTCATGACCAATCACCATACCAAGTTTGAAGTTCCTAGGCCTTAAGGTTCTTTAGTTATTGATCGGAAACCGTTTTTGCTTACAAGGTCAATGTGACCTTGACCTTTGACCCCTTGACCCCAAAATCAATAGGGGTCATCTACTGGTCATGACCAATCACCATACCAAGTTTTGAAGTTCCTAGGCCTTAAGGTTCTTTAGTTATTGATCGGAAACCGTTTTTGCTTACAAGGTCAATGTGACCTTGGACCTTTGACCCCTTGACCCAAAATCAATAGGGGTCATCTACTGGTCATGACCAATCACCATACCAAGTTTGAAGTTCCTAGGCCTTAAGGTTCTTTAGTTCTTGATCGGAAACCGTTTTTGCTTACAAGGTCAATGTGACCTGACCTTTGACCCCTTGACCCCAAAATCAATAGGGGTCATCTACTGGTCATGACCAATCACCATACCAAGTTTGAAGTTCCTAGGCCTTAAGGTTCTTTAGTTATTGATCGGAAAACCGTTTTTGCTTACAAGGTCAATGTGACCTTGACCTTTGACCCCTTGACCCCAAAATCAATAGGGGTCATCTACTGGTCATGGACCAATCACCATACCAAGTTTGAAGTTCCTAGGCCTTAAGGTTCTTTAGTTTATTGATTGGGAAACCGTTTTTGCTTACAAGGTCAATGTGACCTTGACCTTTGACCCTTGACCCCAAAATCAATAGGGGTCATTTACTGGTCATGACCAATCACCATACCAAGTTTGAAGTTCCTAGGCCTAAGGGTTCTTTAGTTATCACTCGGAAACCATTTGGTCTACGGACCGACGGACCGACAAGTGCAAAGCAATATACCCCCTTTTCTTCGAAATGGGGGCATAATTAGTCAAGATCATCTAAAATGATCATTTATCACAATACCCTTGCCACTTTTGCGACTCCGGTAATATTTTTTTGCACCCCTGTACATATTCTTACGCAACATCATTTGCATTACATAAACCTAGTGTAAAGACAAGCTAAACATTAGTGTTACTCTAAAAGTGCATTAATGAAAAGTGATACTTTTTTTACTCTAAACAGTCTTTATTTAGAGTTTGTGATAAATAAAATATGATATTCAATTAGGTTCATTACAAAATTTATTGAACTCTTAAGTGTTTTTTGTTGGATAAGATGTACTAAATGTTATTATCTTTAATACCGATATATGTCTATTTTTATGTTTATTTAAGGCCTTGTTGAAAATAAGATTTTGAATTATATGTCTTTCTTTGATACTTATGTATTGTCTTAATAAGCTGTAACCTCTGTTAAATAAAGAACTTAATTATCATTATTATTATTAATGAAATAATAGGTTTACCAGAGGCTCGCATAATATAATATGATTCAACTCATTCAATAAATATGGTAATGAACCCATACTCATGCAATATTGTATAAAAATACATTGCAAAGCATCATTCAACATCTTGAAACTAGAGTCTTGATAACGTAATAGTGATATGTTAGTCTGACTGTAAGGTTATATTTCTTAATGCTTAAAACACCATGATGCTTGAAAGCACTTAGGCTGGTTTTTCCAAAGTAGCCTTGCTCCTGGCCTAAGTATTTAAAATACAACATACATGGTAAAAGAATCTAATTGATAAGGTTTTAAGCACCACATCTCAAGATTTGGGTTAAATTTTATGAAAACTTAAAAATCGACAAAGAAATTCTGTATTACTAAGTAAAAATGTTTTGAATGGTACAAATTAAGTGGTTTGACCAAGCAAATAGCACTATACATGAGTTTTGTACCTTATCCAGGTGATTATATGGTCTTAAAAATCTGAAAGAAAGCTGACTGACTCAATGTTTTTGGTTTACAACATAAATTATTACATAGCAAGTCACAGTATTTAGAATTCAAAAGGACCTAACTCTTTTGCTTTACAAAACTTTCCCCAAGCCACATTTCTTGATGACAAATGACATTTTGTATGAAGCACTATTATTAAAAATATTCTTAAGAGTACTTGAAGTGGAAAACAAAAAGAAATATTTATCTTGAGGCTTGATAGAAAAACATAATTAATATAAAAATCTTGACTAGAGGGTTCATCTAATGATATTAAGATACATGTGTGACATTTGAATCCATTAATGTGATTTGTGATTTTTCTGTTCACAAAAGAAGTACAAAGAGATTTTACACTTAATATACTGTCTCTTAAGGTATGTTTAGGAAACGTGCTAAGCTTTGAATTTTTTAATTGAATGTCTGCAGTTGCATAAAATTTCATTAAAATATAGCAAAAAGTTCCTAGCAATTGTGACAGAAGGACTGTCATGTAGCAACACTTGCACTAGCTATAATGATGTTAGACTTGGCAGTCACTTAAAGCAGCATCCCTCCAATTCAAGCAATTTTTTCATGTAAATGAGAAAAAAATAATCCTCGTTAGTGAATGTTTAGTCTTGAGTACAAAATTTAATTCAATGATTTAAGCTAAGCTTAAGCACTGACTGTATTAAACAGGAAATACCTGTAACAATTTTGTGTCAAAACTTGAAGAAATATCTATTATTTAGTAAGTAACAGCTTAGAAATTTAGAATGTTTTAAAAAAAAAACTGGAGAAAGGATGATCCCTTAAAAGCAATGAAAACAACAATTTCATATGAAAATGTCAGACATTAATGGAATCTGTTCATGAGATTTAATGTAAAAGTCCTACATCTCTCGAGACCCTAGTACCATGAAGTATATAAACTGTGTAAGTCACAGTTATGTTAACAATGGGGGAAATATTGGCGAATTTCGCAAATTTACGAAAATTGCTAAAATTGTCTCTAGCATAAATATCAACCAACTTGTCATTAAATTCTACCCTTGCACAATTCACTAATATTTCCTCACGCAAAATGTCTGGAATTTTAAATTCGCTACCTTTTTGACACATCGAAATATCCACTTTTACAGTATAGTATTTTGCATAATTAATGCACATTTTGTAACTTGGATAATGTATGATTAAAACTGTTCTCAAACTAATAAACTTTGTTAAGATTAAGGTAGTATAACTGTAATGCTTTCCCGCGAAGCAAAAAATTCTAAAATCCACTAATATCGTAGCAAATCGGTTCCGGAACATGGGCATTAGATTATTTACAATCACTTATCCTTTATCACTATGTATTTAATTTAATTCTGGTTATAAACGGTTAGAATCATTGAATACAGAAGATAGTGAAAAATAATGTTGGGGAAATAACCGATTTATTACGATACTGGCCAATGTTAGAAACTTTTTGGCGGGAAAGGATTGCAGTAAGACTACCTTAATTTTTTTTTAACATTTATTTACTAATAAAGGCTTGTGTACAGCTTAATGACCCTGAAAAAAATAAATACTCCAGAAAACACAGATCAACACTATTTTTTGTCACTAAAAATATCACTGAGATTTCTTGTCGTCTGCTGCATTTCCAGAATGGTCGTCAAATATTGGTAAAACAATTTTAGTCCAGCACTCATGCCATCTTGAAGATTGAAAACCAGTCAAATTTTTCCTAAATTGGTCAAGTTTTTTGCTGTTGTTTGGAAATCCTTTGAGTAATGTCTAAGATATAAAAGAATAATGTAAATAAGAAAATACTACAACGACTAACTCCTTGCTATAAAATATACATACCGTGAATTTATTTAAGAATGATGGATTCCAAAAATTGCAAAAGAAATGAAATTCAAATCATATAAATTGGGCAGCCACTATAAGACACAAGAACTATAACTGCAATTTCTTACTAAATAAATAAATATTGAATAAATATTACTTTATCAACATACTAGAGGGTAATGTTATAGTAAGTAGAAATGATCATTTAGTTTCTCTGACAATGGGAAGGCATCGCTTAGTGTGTCTTAATTATAGTGAATACTGACAAAATCAAGACCCTTATTAACAATGTCTACATCCAATTCTTCACTTACTTGTATATTATTAAATAATTCTTTACTGTCCTTGAATATTAGACCATTCTCTTCATGTTTCACTAACTCCTTTATACTGGAGTAAAAAATAATTAAATTCAATTTATATCAAATCTTCTTGTTTGAAACATAGCATCAATATATTTGTTTATCCCTAAACAATGAATTTTGATTTTTTAAAAATCAATTTTTATACCTATCTAAGTGTCCTTTCTGATCTAACAAAAAAGAAGACTTTATAGATGAAGAAGCACATACGACTTATTTTTTTTTGGTTAGGTTTTACATTGCACCAACAAGATATAGGTCATATGGCGACTCTCCAGCTTTACTGATGGAGTAAGACCTCAGGAGTACCTCAAAGTATTTTTTTTTCAGGCACAAATGGACACCTGAATAGAACCATCAACAATCTGTAAGGTAGCTGAATAACTTCCATACACAAAACAATCCAAAGCCCCTGTTTGGATTCAAATCTACCACAGTGAGGGGCATGTGGTTTTGAAGTCAACCACTTGGCTACAGATGCCCCATTCTCTTTTATTTATTCATAGAGATTAAAAGTACCAAATATTTAAAGGCTTATCAAGCCTCCCAAAATGCCATTAAACAAATTTTTCAAAAGCTTCTTATTTTTCTTGTTCTTTTACAGTTCCTGAAACATAACTCTGTTGCCATTATTATAGCATCACCATCTTTAGCGTTCTAGCCATTAGTAAAACTACAGTGATTTAGTAGTATGTAATAAGCATCTTACATGCTCTGAAACCATCATTAAAACATCATTTAACATAGGGCTGTCTTTTCTACACAAGAATTTCATTAATTTCTTATGAATTCATAATGTGAATAATAAAATAATGCTTAAATGTGCCTTTAAAAAAACGTTAGTTGCTCTGGTATATTTTAAAGCCCAACAAACTAATAAAATAGCTTCTTCAGAAACAGGGGAATAGGGGAGAGAACTCACCAGTTAAAATGAATAGCACAAACAGGCAGACAACAACCAAACATATCAACAACTTTCATAGGAAGGTCAAGGCCACTGGATGACTTATGTAGACATATACCAAGATCTGCACTCCCTAAAATAAAGAAATGAATCATTCTACATACAGTGAAGCATTACGAAAAACAAAATAAGATAATAAAAAGAAATTGTTAAATCAAAGAGCTGCACAAGTAGCCAACAATCAGTAGGTCATTTCAAAAGCAAAATATCAAAATAATAAATTTGTTAGAATCAGAATGAAGTATCAAAGAGCTGCATAAGTAGGCAACACACATTCAGTCAATTTTTTCAAATGCTTGTAGACATCTGTTTGCCATTACTATTTCAAAATGGGCAATAAATCAACATTTTCAAACATATACTATTACTTTATTCTAGCTTGAGGAAATTATTTTGTATCATTAAATATGCCATTCATAAGGAGGCTGCCTGTGCTAGAAATAATGCAAGATGGAAAATTGCCATATGACCGTTACAGAGACTTTGTGTGACTTAAAATCTAAAAGTATCTGTTAAAGTAACCACTTTTGACTAAAGTTCTAAGTAAATAAGGGGCATAACTAAAAAAATATAGCTATCAAAATTATGCCCCTTGTCTTACAACTGCTTCTTGTCATGATAAAGAAGTATTCGAGTAAAAGGCTACATAAAAGTTTTTTTCATAATGATAACAACCACAATGCCCCCCCATCAATCACAATAGCTTGACTTTTTCAGGAAAAGATTAACTGAACTTACCTAATAATAGTGGATAATCTTCTGGTGTAAGCCAAGGTAAACAAAATGAAACATGATTCCAATGTTGTGATTCTATCTTTTCTCTGTAAAATTCCTTTAAAGGCCCTTTACCTGTAAATTAACAATTTGTATAATTCTAACTTGGAAACTGAAAATAAAATGTTACTTTTGGTTTATACAAAACAATGTCTCATTTGAGATTTCATTCACATACAATATGCACAAAACAACATTATCACATCTATTTTGGTAATTTTTATAAAGTCTGGAGACATTGAATAAATAATATACAAACACTTAAAACTCTAGCTGTAACAACAACTTGCCTTTGACCTTAGCTTTTGCCATCAGTATAGAGCCACTGGTCAGACTGCCCTTTCTTACAGTCTTGCCAGGTTCTGTACTGTTGGTAATTCAATTTGTATTTGAAATGAAATCACTTAAGACATGGAATGGGCTGTGTAGTCTGACCAGGTTCTACAGTATTGATGGTTCAATATTTGTTTTTGTCATTAAATCACTTAAAACATTGAATGGGCCGTTCTTATTTCAAAGCAGGTTAAATCTATTACACAAATGTCAGCAGGTTATGGTTTAACCCAGACCACCAGTATAGAGCCAGGTCAGCCTGAAAATCTGTGTAGTCTGAGCAAGCTCTATACAGCTAGCTTCCCTTCAACTACTTATAAACTGTTCCAAATTCAAAGCATCTGGTGGTCGTCATCAAAATCATTTTTTTTTTTTAATCAAAATAATTATTTTGGAAAAACAGTGTGAGCAATAGACTTACTCCAGAATTAAGAATATTTGGGTTTATTTCAGCTAATCTGTACGTACAAACAAACTTTTACAATTACAGCTTCGAAAATAAGAGCAACAAGTTGACTAATCTATTGTGACCGGTAGTGCATTGTGAAGCTATAATGGTAAAAGTTTGTTTGTACCTACGACTATTAGCTAGGAAAAAGCCATATTTGCAGAGTTCCTGATAACATATATTGAACTGAAATTTTGAACACAAGAGATTAGACAAGACCTAAATCAAATGGTATATAAACCTCTAAAAAGTTATTTCCAGAAGTATCATGTAAAAACAACCCTCAGTCAAGTCACTTTAAAAAATAACAAATTTCAGAATACCTGTAATAATGCAGACTATATTTGGTAAATCTGCAGATTTTGTCGAAACTTGCTTCTCATATGCTGAAAATCAAAAATATTTGACTTTTATAAGTTGTCGTCACATAGAAATATCTATTATAGCTGATTTATACATGTATTACTATAATTCATGGTAACTCTTTATTTTCAAAATAAGGATGTTATTTATACAGCTTAAGTCACAACAAATGAAACATAATTATGAGTTTTAAGAACATCAATAAATATTAATGGCATTTGTCTTTTCTTTAGTATATTGTGACATCATTACGCAGATGCATATGATTCAGCTTTTTTTTTTTTTTAAATCATTTTGGTTTTAAGTCATTCCAACACTGTTCATATAGTAACTTCCTAACTTGTCTGATCTAATAACCTCCCTTTAAAGCTAGCTGAATAAGTTTTCTGACATGAAAGAATCCAAGGCCCCTAAAAGGATTTGAACCCACAGTAGTAAGGGGCTAGTGGTTTGAAGTCAATGACCATAACCACTCATCTATGGAGGTCCCATGTTGGAATCAGAAACAATATTTCAGTAAAAGCCAAGTGGAAAATCAAAACCATGTTAAAAAGATGTTATAGAGATCAAAGTTTCAAGTCTTCACAATTTAAACCATTTTTACACCAATACACTTTCATTTTACCTTCAAGTGCAGCTAATAAAACCCCAAAATCTTCATCCTCTGAAATAAATACAAAAATATTATTCACAGTTTTATAACATTTAGGTCAATAATTTTGCCACAAGTCATTTGCAACAATCTTCACTATTACAAGTACTTAAATGAGCTACATTTATTGAAATTATTCAACATATTAAGTATACACATTCACCTATATATACAGAGTCATAAAAAAAATAAAAAAATTCTGATTTAAATCCCCACAAAAAATAATTTCACACGACATTTGTATTTTTTTTCATCAGATTTACTGGAGTTTCAACTATTTTCTTTTGCTATTTTTTTTTCAGGCCACAAAAAAATTTAACTGACCTGTCCAACTTGTGCTACTGATGACCATTGCTGGACGACTCTGTAAATAATATGCATCTCCGTTGCCATTGGTTACTGTGAAAGCTGTCTCATCTGAACTTACTGTGCCACTCCTAAAATGCATGTTTTAACAGTATGATTTATAACTACATATTATTAAAGTGACTCCACTGAGGTGTTTTGACATGATTGGACAGGAAATAATTTTCTTAGAATTTTGTACTATTTGATGTAGGTCTTAACCAGTAACTTGTGTGAAATTTTCAGATCAGCTGGTCGTTTTTGATCTTAAAATGAAGTGTTGCAATGCTTTTCACCCAAACCGGGCTAAGAATCGCACAAAAATTTAATATTCAATTTAATTCTGAGTATATTTCATTATAAATGAAACTCATTAAATTTAAGTGCTTCACTAAGTCATGATCTATGTAAGTATTTCAAGTTTATGTTTTTAGGCTTTCTAACATAGTGGAGCTCCCTTAAAATGTTGACTTATGGGTTCCTGCATGCCAGAAGGTAATTAAGCTAATAAGTTTATGAATGGTTAGCATATCTACATAAGTTCAGAGCTTGCAATAAAGCATGGCGGGGTACAGAAAGTTTTCATTCATAAGTAAAGCTGGAACGTCAACAAATGACTTTAACCATATCAAGGCAACCTAAAATCTCACAGAAAAATTATTTTCCTTAAAAAACAGTAATAATGACAGGACAAATAACAAAATTAAAGAGTAACAACAATTATCATTAAAATTTAATGATGTTCTTAAAATTTCACTTGTGCTGTATTCAAAGGGACTTTACTTAAAGAAAATTTGTCACTTGCTTAGAAGGTATTATCTCCCTTTAACTTTGCTTCATGAAGTAACGCTCTAGATCATCAAGACAAACAATTTTGGATTGCAATTTTAAAACACATGTCTTTTTTAATCTGTCAAATCATGTAGGTAATAACGAAAATCTAAAACTTTTTATAACCTAAATTCTTGATGCTATATTTAGAGTTATAACCTTTGCCAACACAATTCTTGTTTTCTTCTTTCTTTGCAAGTACATGTATTACCAATGAATGCAAATCTTTCTTTCCTTTATGCCATTAATCTTAACCCTTACCCTCAAAATATTTTAAATGGACTTGTCATTAAATTAAATTAAATCATTAAATTTAGGCTAAACCATCCATCATTTTTAGTGAAAATTTCAAAACATTTTGTCACTGAATAGAGAGTGAACAGTGCAGACCTAACCATAATCAGATGGCGCAGATGTGTTGGATTATTTTGGCCTGCACTGGCCGCATGGGTAGATTCATTTTCCACCAGTAAGCTAAGGGTTAAGAGAATAAATTAAATTACTTACTTTGGTCTAAACACATCATATTCTTCAGCTAATCTAGTGAACAGTTTATGGCGATCGTTCAATGCTGTCTCCTTGAAAATATGAGCTGGTCTGTCATACATAACTGTTGCTCTGTAAACATACCACAAAATATCATTTAACGTCTCAGAAATGAATTAAGATTTTTCTCTGAAAAAAAAAAAGGCAGACACATGTTTTATAATAAAGATATAGTATTAAATTTATAATTGCTACATAGTCTCTTTGTAAATATAAAATAAACATGTTTTGACTTCACACAAAGTAGATGTTGTCTTTAAAATTCTACACACTATAGGTGGTAATAAAATGAATATAATTATAGTGTCATTAAAAAACTGGCTTTTTTTTCCCAGAAAAAAGACCAATTTTACTTGACCTGTAATAGGGAACCCAGCTTCTGATACATAATATATCCATTCTTTCATTCAAGTTGAACTTATTCCGTAAGAATTTCATAGATATCAAAAAATTTCTGTGCTAAAAATATTTTACAAAAGGATGAGTGTAGCATATCTTTTAAATGAGATTTTGAGCATGTAAGATGCTGACCATGTGAAGAAAGCAGGGTTAAATGCAGAATAATTGTCATAGTCATAAGTTTAGTAGCAGAAACATAAACGAAGTGTCACTTTGTCTTCCATACAAAATACTATAATACATTTTTAAATGGCCAATTAGCAAAAAAAAGGTTTAACTACATGACCAGAAGCATAACAATATACGCCAACAATTTTTTGGCCATATAAATAACCATTACAATAAAAATATGAGCCGCGTCACGACAAAACCAAAGTAGTCTGATCAGGATCCATGCTGTTCGCTATCAGTTTCTCTACTTGTAATATTGTTTGTAAGCGAACAGCATGGATCCTGATCAGACTGTGCGGATGCGCAGGCTGGTATGGATCCATGCTGGTCGCAAACGCATTACGTTGGTTTTGCTGTGACGCGGCTCATATTTCCATAGTCAACTATAATCCTCATAGCTTTTTACTTCCTTTAAGGAAATATAATTCACCGACAATACCTTAAAAAATCATATAAAAGGAAATAAAAACAGTGTCTCACAAAAGAGAAAGAGGAAATATTCTCCTGTCCTTTTGAACTTTGAAAATCGAAGTACGCATATGATATTGAATAGGTGTATACGCAAATAAAGGAAACAAGAACTAGGCGATTTCAGCCTAGAAATGCTGGGTTCATGTCACACTTAGATTAGATCTTCCCACATTTTCAACACTACAGGTGACTATTTCCTTTACACCATGCTTCACATTTCATTACAAATAAGATCATAAGTAAGTCATGCTTTTTCTCTCTAATTGCAAATTGCATCTTTTTTCCCAATCTTGCTCTATTTTGCAATGTTTCCTACCCCCAACCAACTCTTGAAGTCATTTCATAAATTATTACGAAAAGGGACCTAGTGTTGAAGTTGTCTGCCTCTCAAACAGATAAGGATTTTAGACCTACCTAAGGCATGACCATGTTTCCGCTTATAATATGTAATATCAACACTTATTAGACCAGAATTAGTTATACTCTTAAATATTAATGTTTTCTTCACAATCAAACTAAAACAGATGTCTTGTGACATTCCGTCGTCTGCAGAATTACAACAGGACAAAGGCAAAGCTTTATGCCTCACAAAGAAGGGCCATAAAATGCGAAAACAGCACAATCCAGTGGCCTGAATTGTATAATAAAACAAAATAAAACTTCTCTAAAAAAATATTCAACTGCTTTTTAAGTTTTCAAAGATTGTTTGATTTATGGATATACGATCAGTTTGATTGGCAATTTCTATACAATCAAGTTGATTGGCAATTTCTATACAATCAAGTTGATTGGCAATTTCTATACAATCAAGTTGATTGGCAATTTCTATACAATCAAGTTGATTGGCAATTAATATACCATCAGTTTAATTCAATTTTTTACTTTGGTGTGAATATCACACAGTCAAATGAAGCTTGTATCATAGCTTGGGGACTTTTCTAGTGTTAAATCGTACACACAAACATGCACAGTGCATCAACTGGAGTGCAAGTATTTTAAGTTACCCGCACTCTACAGCATGCTCATTGATTGGCTCATTTTTTTGGGGGTTTACTTATTGTGACGACAGAGAAAGGGATTACAATAGAAAAGTCATATTCACATGCTCATTTATTTGGTCATTTTTTTCCGGGGTTTCATATTGTGACGACAGGGAATGTGTTTTTATTTTTGCCTATGATAAAAAAGAGAAAGAACATCAAAACACTTAGCAATCTGATTTATACTCAAGGCCAAATTGTTCAAATCAGACAACCTTGTGTTATGATGCTCTTTCTATTACTTAATTCATACCTGAAATTATACTTTAAAAATTTCCAAGCTGACCAATAAATAAAACAAAGGTTTGTTCTTTAAAACTGATCAAGACCATTTTGTGACCTCACTAGATATCAAGATGTTAACAAGAGCGATCAGTGATCACATGTGTCGCCTCATGACGGCCAATTTCATGTTGGGACAGACGGAAAACACGTACAATATGCGCAAGGACTTGAGCTACAGATCAATGCTGTAAACTTTCATTGAAATTGCATCAGTAGTATAAGAGAAGTCGTCCGGACAAACTTTAAAAATAAAAAGTTATTAAAGGGCCATAACTCTGACAAAAATCATTGAACCGGAAAATGCTGACAACATGCACAACTAGACTTGGTACTGATCATTCCTGAAAAGTTTGGATGAAATTGCATCAGCAGTTTATGAGGAGTAGTCTTGTCAAGTTTTGTGACGGACCAACAGACGGACAGACAGATGACGGAGAAGTGATCCCTATATGTCGCCACTACTCCGTAGAGGCGACACAATAAATGAACACAATTAAGACTTTTATTATCTGCTGGAATCTATTCTCCTAAATTATATACATCTACTAATAGGTGTCAGTTTACAAAGTAACAAATAACAAGAACCTTTCTTTAATTTACTATTTTCTACCATGTTTTTTAGGTGAGGCCGTTAAATTGTGCCGTTTAATGAACAGCGAAATGTCATGAATACTTACATCAGTATAATTATGTATAAAATCATCACACTTTCACTATTTTAAGATTATCTTTATACCTGTTGCCATGGATATGTAATAATATGTATCACGTAATACCGTATTCCAACATGTTATGGTGCTAATCATGATAACACCTTTACATCTGAAATGATATGTCTATTCTATATACAGATATTTTTCAACGAAACCATTCACGAAACCATTCACGTCTGAAGGTACTGGGTTTTAACCTTTTAACAAGGAGACAAAATGTTAGATGTCAGATAATTTGGCAAGTATGCAAATCGTTACTATGTGGGCTTAAGGATTTTTTTGGCACGGATGTGACAAAGTGTGAAAGAAACACCACACTTTCGACTCCTTCACTTAAACAAAAAAGTGTAAAATATCATCTAAATATGATTATAAATATTTATTTCAATTATTCCATTTTCACGGCTATTAGACTTCATATTTTTACAACAAACAATTCTCATGAGCTACATGTATAGAATGACTGCATTCGAAAATAACTAATATTAATTGTTTCGACTGGGTTCTGTATAACACTGAATAAATTATTACATATATAGAGGATATTGAATGAGTGCAGGTTCAATACTGAATTTATTGAACAAGTTGAAAAAAATTATATTACGAGAGCCTGAGGCGAGCAAAATAATTTTTTATTCAACAAGTTCATCAGCAATGCTAGCATTTAGCATGTCTTTACATTGTGTTTGTATAATGCAAATGACATGACATCAAAATATATGCGCAGCTGTTCTTGTTTAAAAAAATTTAACTTACACTCACACAATATCTTCTATATAATTATGTTAATCTAATGTTGACTAACAAATTTTTATTTACATTCAAATTTCCCAAATGTTAAAGCAGTATGGACAACGAAGGTACCTGAATAGTCGCCCAACTGACTGTTGAATGCGGTCAAATATGACGACTCATCAGGTGATTTTCTTGACCAATAACACCAGTTAAGTCCGATTTAGCAAAATACTTTGCATTACCAAACTTATGCAATACGTCATCAAGTGTTTTGAGTGAGTAGGGTGTACGCCTAATTGCACTATTAAAGGCACATTATGCCTCAAAAATCCATATTTATTAAATTCTTTAGAAATATCAAACACGTGTTTATTAATGTTTTGATAATGGATTTAAAACATGTAAAATACTTAATAGCTGAAGAAAGTTGGCTGAATGTTCAGTAATGTGTCGTAAAGGTAGCAAAATGTAAACAAATAGTATTTTGACTTCCATACAAAATACTAATTCACTATAATTATACCAATTGCCAACAAAGCAAAAGAAGCAAAGATAGTTCATCTATATGGCAAATGAGTATTTTTTGTGGAAACTGTAACAAGATACCAAAAATTTGAAATTTTTTGAGAAATAAAAATGATAGCATTTCTGAGGCATAATGTGCCTTAAGCAAACAAGGGTTTAAACAAAGATGTATATCGCCATTACTCTTTTTGCAGTAACAACTATATTATAACACCATTCAGTGGGTGTTGAAACCTTAGCAATTACCCCCAATTTTTCCATTCCTATACGTTCCTGTTCCACTTTGAGTATCTACATAATATTTTCTCTCGAAATAAATTTGACACTTCATTTAATGCAAGAGTAACTATAGAATTCAAGGACCGATAATGGCCGAGATATGATGCCATATTGTGACCAATTTCATAAAAGACTAAAATTTCAACGACTTTAACATTGTAAAAAACATCTTCATCATGTGTTTTCAGTATCTGAAAGACTTCATGTTTCAAACACTTTAACCTTTCAAATTTTTTTATTCTTTTTAAATGAAATGTTATTATAAGACCGTAAAACTTCAGAAATTTCAAAAATGAATACAAACATAGTTTTATATAGTTTTTCCCTCTGCTAATCTTTGAGTAAAATTATTTCATCACAGAAATTTAATGGAATCTATGAAATTCTTACTAAATATTTCTAATTTGAATAAAACATATTATTTATTGTACAAACTATGTATGGGAAACTGCGTTCCCTATTACAGGTTAAGTTGGTCCATTCTTAAAAAAAAACACTGCCATTTTTTTATTCATATTGTGGCCTCCTATACTGTGTAGACTTTAAAACATATAATATCTACTTTGTTTAATGTTAAAACATGTTGATTTATATTTACAAAGAAACAGTGTAGCAATTTTCAGTATTTTCTAATATCAAATTTGAGCAAATCAATATATCTTTAATGTATTGCTATATATATTTAATGTATTGCTATATATATAATATATATATATAGCAATTTGGGTTAACTATATTGCAATACATCACAAAACATATTTGACCAAAATCGTGGCATCCCCTACAGGAAAGTTTATATTAACCTTATTCCCCAATTGTCCTGAAGATCCTTCTGCATTGCCTTGGTAACACAAATGTTCTGTGACGAAAATCTTCCGAAGAAATGTTCATACCTGAAGTATAAAGTTTTAATAAACATTAAAAATAATCATAAATTGTAGTAGAACATTTTTGAATTACATCGTATATCATAATTATACAAAACTAAAAAACATGATCCACTTCTGGCCATAATAATAGTTCAGGAGAAACTTTCTTAGGGTAGGGTAGTCAAAAGGGTAGGGTAGTCGAAATATTTTGACATGCCAAGCTAGATTCAGAAATATTTTTGTGTTTGGTTAGAATCTGGCTTTTACGACATATTGCCAAGACACAAAATAGCACAATATCTTGTCAAGCAGTAAAATTAGTTGGACCAACGGTAGGGCTAAAATAGATGTGTGTATTTCTACTCTGTATAGTACACATTTGTTTATTTATCTGTGTTTTTTATGGGTTTTTTTTTGTGCTGATTAAAAATTTTAACACATTTTTTGCCCTATAACAGCAGTCAGACCGCAGTTTAACAATTTCTCTGCAAGTGACCGACTACTAATTCAAAAGATTTTTTCAATCAATGGTGAAAGACAATTTACCAAATGACTCTCAGTCTGATATCAATTATCTGAGATTTTTGCCTCCGCTGAGGATCAAACCTGAGTGGCCCTTTGATTACAAATCCAATGCTTGCCAAATTGAGCTAAACTGGCAGTACATATACTAGTACATGTATGTTATTTAAAATTTGTCCAACATCATTGTCAAAACAGACACTAATCATGGGTCCATTGCATTAAGGAAGGGCTTATTGAAAAGCTTAGACCCAGCAATTAAGATCATTTGTTTTTTTTTGCATTAAATACATAATGTCGAAATAACAGCAAGCTAGACATTTTTGGTCATTGAGTCATTAAAACACAATAAAATTCACATTACTTTTCTATAATTTATTATAGGCTCTCAGGCTGGGCAACCCTTTTTTTTTCATCCCCATAATACTCTCAGGGGGTCCGATTGTCCCCTCAAACCTTAAAATATTTATTTCATACAAACATAAACATATCTTTCTTTAATCTGTTCCATGGCAACTGATTGATCCATTCACTATAATTCTAAATACAGATTCTATACAAATTACTTTTATCATAATAATACATGTATGCCATTATGTATAACAAATCTGAACAAAATAAAAATCTTATATAATGACAAGGATCAGGTGCAGTTACAAAATCTAATTAAAAGCTACAACACAATCTTCTATTCACAGTGAATTGATTCCCGGCATGTCTTCAGTACAATCCAAAAACTGATTTTTCCTGATTAATAAGTGTTCAAATATAGCCGTCAAGTTCTCATTTACGGTATCTTCCATAACTTGATACAGATTAAAATATACATGCACATGTAATTATGAACAAAATGTGGTCTTAGCTGACGTTACTTCAATATGACCTTCAATATATGAATAATTATGCACTTGACCTTCAATTTCTATGAATAATCATGAACTTGACCTTCAATAGCTATGAATAATTATGAACTTGACCTTCAATATCTATGAATAATTATGAACTTGACCTTCAATAGCTATGAATAATTATGAACTTGACCATCAATTTCTATGAATAATTATGAACTTGACCTTCAATTACTATGAATAATTATGAACTTGACCTGCAATAGCTATGAATAATTATAAACTTGACCTTCAATATCTATGAATAATTATGAAATTGACCTGCAATAGCTATGAATAATTATGAACTTGACCTTCAATATCTATGAATAATTATGAACTTGACCTTCAATATCTATGAATAATTATGAACTTGACCTTCAATTTCTATGAATAATTATGAACTTGACCTTCAATATCTATGAATAATTATGAACTTGACCTTCAATTTCTATGAATAATTATGAACTTGACCTTCAATAGCTATGAATAATTATGAACTTGACCTTCAATTTCTATGAATAATTATGTAATATCATTATTTTGAAACCACTTCTGAAACATAAATGTATGTCCAGAGTCTGTGATCCAATTAATTTCCATGAAAAGTAAAAAATTCAATATGACTTTCAATTTCTATGAATAACTATGTACTTTCTATAATTATTTCGAAACCACTTCTATTCATTGGAATATTACTGTTAATATGTCAAAATATACAAAAATAAACATAATGAGTATGTTGATATAAATATATATACAGTGTATCAATTGCCGTCATGCCAAGTACAACATCACTTACAAATATTTATTGTACTCAATATCTATTTTAGAACTTTATAATGTATAAATCATATATTTCTGCTGCCTTAAGTTTACAAATTTTTTTTTTAATTTTGAAAAAGAATTATAAAATACATGTACCAAATAATTTCCAAAATACCTGTATGAAAGAATTGTGTTTGTATATAACCTAATACAAGCAAAATGGTGAAGGTAAAACCTTACTAAAAATACTAACTACCAATATAGAGCCAGCCTCTCCTGTACAAAATATATCTATTCAGTAGAGATCTTACGGATTTATTTAAATTAGACATTACAATTTCATAGATTTTGATTTTTATTTGATATACAGTTTACTCAAGGATGAGCATTGTAAATCTTTAAACTAGTTTATTAAATTTCAGTTAATTCAGTTGATAAAGTGGTAATTACACAAAATATATTATATAGAATATTAACAAGAGCCATGTCAACATGGCCATCCCCAGCCGAATGTGTTTGCTCATTGGAAGATTATGTATATGTAGTAGAGCGGAATAATTCCATTTTAAGAGGTCTTTTGGTAATGAAAAACTGATGGCTATAGTGATTACAGATTTGAAACCTATGTGAATACTGATGGCTGAAAATAACAAATTTTACAAAGGGCAATTACTGAAAAATAATGCAGGGTAGGTTATCATTCTTGTGTGCTGCATCCCTCCTCAGTAAAATCTATCCACCTATGAAGTTTCAAGTTGATACCTCAAATACCTTTTGAGAAAAAATTGAATTGAAAAATTAAGTATGAAAAAGAACAAAGGGCAATAACTCAAAAATTTTAAAAGGTAGAGTTATCATTCTTGTGCAGTGCACACCTCCTGAGTGAGATCTATGCACCTATGAAGTTTCATTTTGATATCTCAAAGGCTTTTTGAGTTATGCTCTGGACAAAAATTAATTATGAAAAATAACAAAGGGCAATAACTCAAAAATAATACAGGGTAGAGTTATCATTCTTAAGCACTGCACTCCTCCTCAATGAGATCCATCCACCTTTAAAGTTTCAAGTTGATACCTCAAATACTTTTTGAGATAAGCTCTGGACAAAATAGCATGAAAAAAATACAAAGGGCAATAACTCAAAAATTGTATAGGGAAGAGTTATCATTCTTGCGCACAACATTCCTCCTCAATAAGAGCTATCCACCTATGACATTTCATGTTGATATCTCAAACACTTTTTGAGTTATGCTCCACTCAGGTGAAAAATTAGGTATGAAAAAGAACAAAGGGCAATAACTCAAAAATTATGAAAGGTAGAGTTATCATTCTTATGCACTGCACACCTCCTGAGTGAGATCTATGCACCTATGAAGTTTCATGTTAATATCTCATAGGCTTTTGGAGTTATGCTCTGGACAAAAATCAATTTTGAAAAATAACAAAGGGCAATAACTCAAAAATCATGCAAGGTAGATTTATCATTCTTGTGCACTGCACTCCTCCTCAATGAGGTCTATCCACCTATGAAGTTTCAAGTTGATAACTCAAATACTTTTAGAGATATGCTCCGGACAAAAATGTCGGACGGACGGAAGGACCGAAGGTCGGACGGACGGACGGAGACTATTTCTATATCCTCCGCCGAAAATTTTCGGCGGGGGATAATAAAGAAGTTTTACAAATAAATTTCTGCTGTATTAAAGCATGATGCTTACATATTTTCTTCATTATTGTAAATTCTCCAATTATATAATCACTGATTGATCAAAAAGGGTTCTTCCGTTATTTCCGATGATCGATTATGATTTTTGTCCTATTAAGAATAACCCTGTCTCACCAGGCTTTCACTGCTGACCATCTTCAATTTTTTCATCTTGAAATCCCCAATATTGAGAATGGACTGTTCTCAAAATGGGAACTAAAGTTAAAATATAGATTTAAACACAATAAATATCTTAAATACACAATAAAATTCTTATTATAATTACAAGATGAAAATATGACCTCTCACCATTTAGCGAACTTGACCAATGGGTTTGTGTGACCTAGAGACATGGCCATTATTGTGTAGCCATAGTTGTGCCAGTCGATGACCATCCTGCTGCCACGCAACCAGCTCACTACCCACACAACCAGAAACACTGGTATACATGGTGGATTCTGAAAAAACACTACTTCAAATTAGGTACTTTACATATATGTGTAAACAACCCTATGGGCATTTGTATTGAGTGTGATTTGTACAAGAAAGAAATATTTTACTTTGTAATTAAAGACGAAGTGGACTTCGCTTTTTCATTAAAACTTGTGCGAAGTAATGAGATTATGGGTGAAGTAGTCCTAAATTTGAGTACATTTTAACCCCTGTACTGAGTGGCCCTCTGCAATAACCTCTTTATAACAACAGTATTGATTCCTTTCAAAATTACACTTCACAAGGACTTTAACCTCTGAAGAGCAACCTCTAAGATGCAACCAAAATTTTTGGACACTCCAAGGGGCATAATTATAGGAAGCAACAAAATGTGAATGACTCAAGAATTCTTCACTTTTGTGGTAGTTAATTACTGCAACAGATTCTACCTATGCAACCATTGTGGCCCAAGTTCAGGCATCACATTCTGTACCATCTTATCTGATGGTTAAACTTATTATTACATGTAATATTTGAAATACTTATGGAATATGCACAGTTTCAACATTAAACCCATACATGCCATAATGTCCCAGATGTCGGGGATTGTCCCGGAAATAAGGTGTCTGTCCCGGAGATGATTTATGTCCCGATAAAAATAAAAATCTAAAATAATCTACTTTGGAGCCAGAGATTTTTTATTTTTATATAATCTTATTGACAAGTTATTATTAACTATTCTAGAACGCTAATAATAAACGAACAATTATCCCCATACAGCATTGCAATATACAATTTAATAAACCTAACTATATCTTAGCAACAATTAAATTAAAGGCAAGAATGGTAATGGTAATACTTTCAATATGTAATATTTTTATAACAATTAAATCTGTGTAAAAGAGTTACTGATTTAAAGTATTTTTCCTAGTAAATGTTTCCTTTTTTAAAGATCATGTTGTCTGTCTATAAGATAATGTCTGTCTATATTAGTAACCCAATAAGTGATCATGTTTAATTTTTACTTTAATGTTATTTATTTATGATTTATCAATAAAATTATCATTTATTGATTAGTTAATAGATCAATTTAATTTCATTCATTCAGTCATTCCATTCAATTTCTTTCATTCATTCACATTCCTTCCTTCCTTCCCCTTCCTTAATTCATTCAAACTCATTTCATTCATTCATTTCATTTAATGAATGAATGAATTAATTAATTAATTAATTCAAACTCATTTTATTCATTCATTTCATTCAAACGCATTTCATTTATTCATTCATTCATTCAAACTCAATTCATTCATTTATTCAATTTCATTCATTCATTCATATTCTTTCAATTTTATTCATTCATTCAATTTCATTCATTCATTTTCATACATAAAATCATTCATTCATTCAATAAATCAATCAATCAATCAATCAATCAATCAATTAATCAATCAATTTCATAAATTAATTAAATTTAATCAATAAATCATTTTCAGTCATTAATTAGAATTCATTTAATCAATTTCATTAATTAATTAATTTACACACCCTATTTTTTATTACTTTATTCATTGATTGATTTTTTTAAATTAAATTCTTTCAAATTACATCAATATTTATAATCTCATTCAATGCATGACAGCTTCACAAGCTGAATTTTCCCCTCACTGCCTTTTTTTTAGACAAAAGCAGGAACCACCAGTATAAGTATATTACAACCTTATTTTTTACTATCTTTTTCACAAATTAACCATCATCCAAAATAAATCTTTTATAGAATAAATTTGTGAAAAAGATAAAGATAATTCTAAACTTATTTTTAAATGAGATATAAATGTACCCTGATGAGAATCAAACCAACAGAGGCAAAGAGCAAGTGATGACTAGTCAGTAAACTTCACCACTCAGCCATGTGGCTTCAGTGGCAAAATACTTCTTTTAAACCACTCAAATTCCGATTGCAAAATTCTCCTCTGTAACACAACAATTCCAGGATTTAGTTCAGCTTTAGAGATAAGTATGATAAACAAGTAGATCATATTCCCCTTAATCACAATTCCCTAATTATATTTCCAATTAGAGACTTTCACAGCATGGGTCCTAATTTTCCATTTTGCCATTCCCTTGAATAAGGATATTAAAACTCATTGTACATTCTTTGTTCTGCATAGTGCTATGTCATGTATAGACCATTTTTTCACAGTTCAATAATCGGAGACACTGACCTCAGAAAATTGTCATTCATCCTTGCCTTTGAAGAACTACCTCTACATGACCTTTTCTGAGGTCATTTACTCTTCATGTACTAGTGCTCTCGAAAAATGACCTCATCTGACCTTTATAAGCCCTCCCACACTGACCTCTTCAACTCTGAGTAACCCTATATGACCTAAACATTGTATTTTGACTTTTTCATCCTGAGAGAACCTGAGTCAGTGACTTAATGTATCATTAATGTGTTTTGTGGACAAGTCCATTTAACAGATAATGGCACAATTTCCAGCCCCCCCCCCCCCAGTATTCTACTATTATAAACTCTTCTTTATTTATTAATGAGAAATTCAGACGGTCTGAAATAACCATTATGATACAGAAGGGGTGACAGCTTAAAACTCATTAACTGACACTTGAGCTCACTTTATGGCTAGGTAAAATGGGAAGAAAGAAATGTAAAAAACAAAATGCTACCTCAACCTCAGGCATAATAAACTCACCAGAAAATAGTTGTTATAATATTGTCATTACAACAAGAAGAGACCTTATTCCTTACAAATATATTTATAGACTATTAAAGTATGCATTTTATTGTTTTAGCAAAATTAATTATCACATTAAAATTATCACATCCTTACAGTTTTTTTTCAATTTTCCTCATTTAAAAAAGTAGTTTCTGTTTCTACTCTTATGATAAGCATGCATGATGATTATAATGAAGCATTTTTTGTATTCGATCTAAATTTCAAACAAGAGAACTGCATGTTGGCCAAAAATCGCTCACCTTTTAGCAAGAAGAAACAACTCCTAATATTTAAATAATAATAATTTAGATATTTAAATCCCTAATTATATCAGCCAAATACTTTAAAAGATGTTTTTAATTAGTTCTATCATTATTATAAGTAAATATGAATTCTATTTTTAGCAGTGGAAGTTGTCTTGTTCAAAAGATCAGAACAATTTACAATCCCTGGGTTAGATTTTGATAGGCATACATTTAGAATGAAAATTTATATCACATAATTTATGTTCCTTTTTATGTGACCAAGTTTCATTAAGACCTCTAAAAATTATTTTCTTTCTTTTCTTTTTTTTTTGATAACTCAATGGCTATTACTCTACAGTGCCTTGGTAAATTCTATTTGTAACAAGTTTGGTCAGGAAAATTAGCTAAGTAAATTAGTAATTATATATTCTGACCATGTCTTATTAGGATTCCCCAAATATTAGTCAAGTTTCCATTTTACACTACTAAGCTATTCTATTAACTAACAAGGGCCATAACTCTAGAATGTTTGTATCAACTTTGCTTCTATTGGTGCTTCGATGACATTATTTGTATTATACAGATAGCGAAATAGTTTCATTTTCATCCTTGAAACATTAAGATGTCAAAATATCAAGGCATTTTACTCTCTTTCAATGGCTTTATGCCTGAAAAAAGATATAATAAATGTACTTGACCTAGTTTAAATTTGGAACTGTCCTGTGCTATTTCAAGAGAATTCAGTATCAAAGTACTGAAACTGAAAAGCCAATAATTATACCCTGCCTATACCCATGTGACCGGTGCATGAATGAAGTTCATTTTTTGCTATTCTGAGTCCGTACATTTTTGAATTTTTCTCTAGAAATGATGAGTGGTTTTGCCCAGATTGAAAGATGGACAAGCCTATTATAGTATTTAAATTGGGTAAGTGTTTAAGTCTGACCAAACTTAAGACTGCATGGTGGCATTATAAGGCAAGCTTAAGTTTGTTAACATTCAAAGAGTTATTCATATGTCATTTTAGCGTATACCATATCATGTCATATCATATAAAGTCAGTTTGCTGGATTTGAGAAATGGATTTGCCCTCCTCTGAAAAAATTGATTTTAAGTCTAAACAATTTCAATTGCAAAATACAAAATATCACCTTTAGGTCCATACATGTATAAGATTTCTGGCATGGTTGGAGTTAAAGCAGCCTTCAGTTTTTAATTTCTGTTGGAAAAACAATTCTGTGTTGTCTCAAACTAAGTATTTCAAGAATTTTATCTTGGAAAAGTGCATCATATCACTGTTAAGCCTTCTGCAAAACAGCATCTGAGAGCTATTTATAGCACGCAGTAATGTTCCTTTCTAAAAAATAGAAGCCCAGGAAATAAATTGTCTGCTTGACTAATTTAGATAAAGAGGGCGGTCCAGCAGATTAGAAATATCAAGGGTTTCCTTATGTTTATGTATTTTATCGTCAGTAAATTTTCACCTTTATTCTTTAGATTTAACAATTATATGAAACAATTGATCTAAAATAACATATTTCACCTTTAGAAAAGCGGAAGGCCACTATCTGCCTAGATTGGACAAGTATGAAGACAGACAAGGCTCTATAATGAGGGCAAAGGTCAAATCACTTTTGGTTCTGTTAGGGAAAATTAAATCTTTGGCCGAGTTGATTTTGAATTGAACCGAATTATGTGTTACGTACGATATACATGCCTGAATAAAAGTTTATTTCCTGGAGCAGGTGCTATTTCAAACCATTTAACATCATATCAATGAAGTAAAAAACACATACAGACTTCATTTTTTTTATTTCCCATCTGTTTTAACAGAGAGGCCAGAAACTTGACACCAGCCAACCTACCTAACCTTAAGAAGAAATTCCATCTCATTAGACATAGTGAATTGTCATATAAAATAAACTAATGAGACAGACAAGGCAGTCATAACTTTACACTGTCCATTAATTTTAACAATCCTTTAGAAAAGCTATTAACTTCTGTGTTCTGAGCCAGTGTAATCACTGTTCATCAAGGAAATGATATATGGATGAACTTTTTGACAACAAAAAAAACAACAAGAGCTAGTGAAATCTGTGAGTTTTAACAATAAAAACACCTTTGATATACCATACTGTTTCCAATTAACGTCTACCCATTCTAATCAGTGCCCAACTTCCCTACCATATTTTGTAGGGAAAAAAAACCTCCTACCTTATAGACTAATAATCCATAATAAAAGAGAAATCCAAAAATCAAAATATTTTTATTCAAAAATAGCTATTAATGACACTCAAGTATTATGTGAAATTATTAAGAATAATATATATTCCTGTATTATATATTAGATCATAAATAGAGGATATTGAATGAGTGTAAGTTCAATACTGAATTTATTGCACGAGTTGAATAAGATATTATGTGAGCCTCTGGCGAGCATAATATTATTTTATTCAACAAGTTCAATTAAGTCAGTAATGAACTTACACAAATTTAATATTCTATTTATCACATACCCAAAATAAAGTCCATTTAAACCGAAAAAAAGAGTCATGTTTTTATTGACGCGCCTATAGAATAATGCTAACATTAAGCATGTCTTTACACAAGATTGATTACAAAATATATGCACGGCCATGCAATACCATTTTTACGGAGTCGCAAAATTTGCACGGGTATGTGATAATAATGAATAGTGATTTTCATAATTGAATTATATCTTTGATAAATATATTTTAAAGCCCATTTTAATAGTTCTAATAAGACCCCCCCTGCACCTTTTGAAAAAATGTAAGCCCCCAGAAGGGGCATAATAGAGTAGAGACAAAAAGGTTTCTATATATTTTAAAATTTTTCCATCCTACACCACCCTACCATTTTTTTAAAAGGGTACTTCTGCATTCTTTTAAACCCTTTGAAATTTTCACAATTTCAAGGGGCTGTTTTGTGTTCAAGGACTAGAAAAAAATTTTCTGGGTGTTAAATTTTTCAAAAAACCATTACCGAAAAACCAATTACGGGAAAACTCAAAATAAAAATGTTTTTTTTGGAAAAAACCCTTTGATTTGGTTTTAAATTTCCATCCAAAGGAAAAATTAATTTGTGTTTTAATTTACAAACAAAAGTTTCGTCCCTACTAAATTTTCATGCTGGTTTAATTTTATTTTTACAGAAATTTATTACAGTGGGTGAAAAATTTTGGAAAATTTAATTTAAACTATTCTTTTTAAAACCCCCTTTTTTGGAAAAAAATCTGTTATTATCATGATCAACATCATCAAGTTTTGTTTATAAGTTTTTCAATATATACATTCTCTTTCTTTTTCCTGGTGAATGAACTATCAATACCTAAGAAAAATGTCCTTCTTTGATTTATAAAACATTGCATCCATACTTCATCTCGGAACGTAATATTTTCAATACCAGTGACTTTAAGGACTTGCTTAATGCCAAAAGTATAGAGCCAGGCCAGCCTGAATTTATATCTACAGCTGGACAAGATTCAAAATGCAATCTAGCATGTATATATACAATTTGCTACATTATGTACCTACCTACCTCCATGTATGTTAAGCATTTTAATATAAATAAGTGCTTTTTTTAATGGCTGCAGGGCTGACAACTTGAAGAAGAAACTATAGAAAAGGAGAAAACATTCCATCTTATATTGAATTAAGAAACAATATCATTATCATTTAAATCTGCAAAGAAATACCTTTTGATAAAATGAATCTTATTTCAGTTGATCATTTTTTCAACTCGCAAGGATTTTACAGAAATAGCGGAAATTATATATTCTGTGGTTTTTATTTTTTGGTTGGGTTTTATGTGGCACATACATAGAATATATATAGGTCATATAGTGACTTTCCAGCTTTACTGGTGACAGAAGACCTCCATTGTTTTCATGCACCTCAGATGAAACATAGAATTCTGTAAGCTAGCTGGATAGCTTCCTCCAAGGTCACTGTCAGGATTCAAATCCACAGTGGTGAGGGGCAAGTGGTTTGAAATCAAGGACCTAAACCACTCGGCCAATATTTTGGGTCAAATTTCAAGCCTTAGAAGCACTTTCACAATATCAGAATAAAACTGACGGATAATGCTTGCTTTGAAAAATCTGAAAACACAGTGACTGTCTTTATCATGAGGAAATCTAAAGAAAATTAATAATTTTAAGCTTCAGTTCCCTTGACCTAATCCACCTGAATTTCCCACATGGGTATAAATTTACGGCCAATGAAAAGTAACAATGGACACCAAATATCTAAGGTATCAATCAATAATTTTTATGCTGCTTCTCAAAAATGTTCTTGTGAATTGAGGACAACTTAATGAAGAAGCTCCACTGAGGTCAAAGCCTAAAAACACATAAATTTCAGAATCTTACATAGCTCATCTGGTGCAATAAAAAACTGCATTGTATGAAGAAAAAAATATTTTGAGCTAGGAAGATTTAAACACCTTCCACATTTAGGTCTTTTTGCAAAATAAAAATGATTATTGAAGAAAACAATGAGATAAAGATCTGAAATTTGGCAATACATTTATAGACCTCCAGTCTGGTTTGTCCTAAAAAATCTAAGGGTGTGAAGTCCCTTTAATATGCTCTGTCCAGGTTTTTTTTGGGGGAAACGCATATCTCAAATAGAAAGAAACCCTCCTAATTATAAAACCAAAGAACATTTTTGAATTTAAAGCAAGCCCACTGCAAGGATACAAATTTTGCAAGGTAAAGATTAAGTGAAGAATACACAATCAAAACAACCAAAGAAGAAACAGTATATTTACATACATAACTACAACATTTGTAGCCATTTCACTGAGTATATTTTCCCTTTCTACTCAGGGTACCATCTTTAAGGCAATACCAATATAAAGAGGGATATATCATTTGTTAGAGTTGTTGATTTTTTTTATGGTACCTTTTTCATCATAAAAATCATTTTATTTTAAATTCATTCACTTTCTTTCATTTATACCTAAAATATATAAGAAATTCAAATGAAAAATAAGCATCAATCTGTTATGATATTAGATGAAGTTACAGGGCTTTTTTTCACAGGTTGGGGAAGCAGCCCAGCCCTTAATTTTGGGGAAAAATTACATGTTATATTTGCAAAAGGGGAAGAAAAAACTTGATGTAAATTCAATATTTGGGGAAAACTGCATGATTTTAAAGAAATTTTCTTTGGGGAAGCAGCCCTATACCGGCCCCTGTTATAGAAGGTAAAAAGGCCCTGAGTTAGTTCCTTTAATTTGCAGAATTATTTTTATTGGTAAATACATTATATAGCTCTGGCGGTGAAAGTGTTAATTAAATCAAAATTCAAATACCTGTATGAGTATATATCCAGATTTGGGCAGCAAAAGCAACGACAAACCAAGTGTTACAGACTGCCATATGACTTTGATACCATACAGTAATAATTTAGGAAATCCTGAAACAAGAAATGGTATTCTTACATTATATAAATATATCAATATATTAATATAAATTTTCTTCTTTCTTTGATTTTTGAAGAAAACATATCTGAGGTCATATTTTGATAGCATGATTGTCTTTTTTTTCAAAAGATGGGTTAAAGTTTTATTGATATAAAAGTCTATCAAACATATTACAAAAGCTGTTGGTAGGACATCATGCTCTACAATTCTCAGTGCTTCATAGAACAACAAGATTATGTAGAAGTTCAAAAAGGGCCATGAAAACTATGTTAGAATGATGTGCCTTGGTCAGTGACCTATTATGCTCCAAAATAAGTATGTGAAGTTTCAACCCATTCCCTTCAGTACTTTTTGAGATACCAACTTACACACAAAAAATTGACCAAAGTGTGATGCTGACACAAGGGTGAGTACAAAAGCTCTCCATATTCTTTGAATAGTCAGGCTAATAATACCAATGTATTAGGGCAACAGTGAAGGATGTTGTCAAGCTAGATTTACTTATTATTCAACTCCAGTGACCTTCAACAAGAGAGCCATCATGGCCTTTCATGCCTTAACAGAGGGCAAAATTTAATTACCTCTGTCCAAAATCATCAAACCATGCCCAAATTTGAACTTGACCTGCATTTTCTTATGATATATCCACATGTCAAAGTTGAGTGTGTGTGAACTCTTGCCAAGATAATGAACAGAAACTAATGTTGATGGAATGACAGAGAGACAGAATGGGGTAACACTATATGCCCCAGCCATTTTATTAAATCCTGCCAATCAGGCTTCAAAAGGTTTCTATTCATATGATACATAACTGTCAATCTATCTAAATGGTCCAAACTTATGAAATAAACATGTTTTGATGTTCCACCCATGCTTATAATTATGATGTTGTGACAATAATATATGGCATAACTGTGTGTTATATAACTATAAAGCAATAGTATATACATAACTGATTATCTAAATTAAAATAAGACAAGCTAATGTCATGCAATAAATTGTTAACATTGATGATTTTAAATTCAAATACTAAATATCAAAATTATATATCATCCAGGATTCTAATAATAAAAATTGTTACTGTAGAATATTTGGAAGAAAATTTCAAACCTTTGAAAATGCCGGGTACTTCCAAAAGGTTGTGAATATCCACCTTTTCATTATTCTTTAAGTCAGCTTGAATCTCTGACCCTGCAATTAATAAAGTAAAACTGTTTAGCATACAAAAAGTATTATTCTACGGCAACAGTCATATGGTATATGTATAATGCCCTTGCACTGCAAATTTGACAAATATCTTGTCGCCAAAACAAAACCACCCCACTGACCCAACAGTGCACAAAAAGAAGGGAAGAAAATGTGTATCAAAGTGTGGGGACAAAATCCGCAAGAGGTCAGGTTGCAAGAGGTCAGGTATTTCAGTCTCAGAGTTTCAGAACAATTTAATGTTTGGAGGGCGGCGCCCTTGGATCTTACACATCAGAGGCTGTCATTGCCATCTAGTTGCATATATTATTTCCCATAAGGAGTAGAACATCAGATTTCTAATCCCAGGGGTTTTGGGTTCCATTACCACCATTGGTGAGAAATCTCTTTCCACTTCAACAAGACAAACCATTGCCATTACCTGTTACTGGTTAGGACAGCAAGAAACCCGACATGTTACCCAATGTAAAACTTTTGCAATCAAAAGGCGGTGCAGATAATACAAGAATCAGCAGCTTTTACCATTCTTCTATCTAAGCATTGCCTTGAGAATTCTACAGTTGTTTTTTAGTAACTTTTTATACTGAAAACTGCAGGGGATAATTATCAAATGTTGCTATTAATAACTTTTTGCCTAACAAGCATAATTCGCAGTTCATTTCCATTACATGATTACATAAAACATACCCCCATATCCAACTATATCCACATTAAAACCACATTTAAGAAATGACATTGCATGGTACTGCATCCTAGGACTTCTGCCAATGTCTCCCAAAACGACTATGCATACACTTCTTTTTCCAGCCACAAAATAATTCAACAGGATGTACAGAACAAAAACTGTCGGAGGTAACATAAGAAATATAGTTCCAACAATCAGCATCTTTGCAGGTTAAAGTTTTCGGTTATTTTCTGATTAAACTTTATAAACGTAAAGTGAAAGTAAACGTCTGTTGACATGTGTCATTTAATGAAGTGACTTCCGCCTCTTGCATCATTGAGTAAAAAATAATCCTAGCGGGCCAGACGCTTTTGAAAATATTGAAGAAGGTATAATGGGCGTCTATTTGACATAGACTTTTTATTTTTTATTTTGCTTTATTAGTTAATTTCTTAGATATTTTATGCAGATTTAAAGAACATAATTGCAAATTCGTTAGGGGTAAATGTTTGTTTCATTTAACTATGATCTGATAACGAAGTGTGACGTCTTTAAAAGATGGAAACAGATGAAAGTAGTAACGAGGCAGATGTAGACAATCTTTCTAATGTAGAAAGTGGTTCTGAACAAAAGGTAGATATCATGTTCAACAAAGACTAAATTGCTATTTTCATAAAAATTTCTTTTTTAATACTTTGTAAAATTGTGTCATTAAAAAATTTTGTGTGCCCAACTTCCCAACATCACTCTACTCAACCACACCTTAGTCAAAATATATTGAAGTGGCTATCCGTACAGTCCTGTACTACCAGCCAAAAGTTCTAGCCATATGTGAGTCACATACCTCTATCCTATATGCACTGTCGAGGCTAGCTGTACAGCATTTTCCAATAATAAATAATGGCAATGATGAAGTTAGTAACTGGCATGTCATATATATTACATTTTCAGAAAGCCATGATTGTATTTTGTTTTCAAATAATTTTATTGATGATGTTCCGGTACCCATGATGTTCGGCCATTTATGATATGACAAAATATCGGATAGATTTATCAGAAATAAATTCACCTTTGATAAAAAGTTTTCGTTAACCGATGTAAATTTGTGTAATTTACAAGTTATAATTATTAAAAATGCTTTGTCATAATCTAACTACCGCTGGAAATTGACCCACAGACTTGAATGTCAATTAAAGTCAGTGACTGATAAGATAGCGCTCTTATGCAATCATGAAAAACAGGTGTGTTGCATCTTTTAATGGTGAGCAAACAACCAGCTTGAAATTTTCAATGCTTGCTAAAAGTATTCGAGATAAAAAATTTATTTCAAGTGTCACAGAGCTATATTTAAATGGTGAGGAAGCTTAGAGACGTCATACATTTTAAATCTGTATCAAAGATACATAAGTTCACATTTTCGCGAGATTTTCCGAGACCAGATTTGACACGAGAAATTACAGCGGGTTTTCCCTACAGAAAATGTTCTCAGCTTTACGACCTGGATCATATTTTGTAGAGAAAACTCCTCGATGTCGCCCCAGGCCATGATATTTCCATATATAACAGTTTTGTCACTATAATATAACATATTATGTCATAAATTATTACTTTCTTTGTATAATTCAAAATATTCTACTTTTAAATACGTACGTACATTATCAAGATTTTCTTAAAAATTGGCACAAGTCTGGAGGCATGCTACTTTAATATTCATATAACCCATAGCCTAAGGTTAGGAAAAAGTGTAAAACCGGACTTTATATAAATCTAATACTTTTTAAAGAACTATACTAAACACTACATGCTACAAAGCTTATGTCTTTTTCTTATTTCCAGCAAAATTCATTCCAAGTTCCTTGTTTTGAGATTTCCTCATGGAGTCCACAGGGTCCTGCCGGGCTCCAGTTTGTATCTCTTGTGCCTTTCATGGAAACTCACCTAGTCGGGAAGCAAGAATGTCACGTTGGAAAGATTAAAGTGTCGACTACACATCGTAAACAGCGACTGAAGGAGTTTCACTCGGGAAGAACAACATGTAGAAATATTGTCGGTAAGTGCTGTGCCAGGATGCTGTTAAAAGTTGCACTGGTTCTTCACACCGTTGTTATATTTTTCAAGTTCCTCCATATCATTGGTTCAAATACTTACATGCAGTCTTGAACACGTTTTGTAAATGTTGATAATATATAATTTATGCTACATAATGTATGTATATGCTGAGGTTCACATGGGAGATCAGGAAACCAAATGTGCAAGCCTCATTAAATAAAGTTGTTAGTTACTTTCTTACTAACATGTTAGTGGGGGTTAGAGATGTTGCAGCTTTTGTTTTCTCCCATGAACAGATAAAACTTTGCTATTTTTGTCATCCTACGTCAGAACTTAACTTTTTTCAGATGAGAGAAGATTGAGAGCAGCTTGTAATGACAATGATTATGTGACAGGTAAGTTCTTTTTCCTGTAGGCATCAATCACTGGCGTAATATATTTAATTGTTGTATAAGACTTGCCTATACATGTATGTCAGATCATCTATAAGTCAGGGTTAGGTCAGATTATTTATAAGTCAAGGTCTTAATTTTACACTAGAATTAAAAGTATTTTGTTTTGATTTTTGAGTGTGTAATGAGCCACTCACATGATGAGATGGTTTATGTAACACTCTAAAATTGAATGTAAAATCCCTAATTTCCAGAGATTAAACACAATAATTACTTTCAGTGAATATTTGCAAAAAGAAGAGGTTGAATATAGGGTTGTTTTTTTTTCAAACATGGTTTCCGAAGAGAATATTGGGTTTACAACATGAAAAATATATTGAAAGTAAGCTCAGCATGTTGTGCACCTTGAAGATAAAGCGACACACAGATAGTGGTGGAAAAATCCACATTTGCTTAGTTCTGTATAACATCTAGCAGTATTGACAAAAGTGTTTAAAAATTAACAATTTAGTATAATTCTGTAGATTTCCCCCCAAAGCAGTTCAACAGTTTTAGGCATAAATAGGTTTTTATGGAAATTATAAATCATTTGAAAAAAGTGAATGTTATAGTAGGTAAAAAAATTTCATCAAATTTCCCCATTTTCGTTGACTATACGCATCTTATAGAATCTGTGATCTATGTCTGTATTGAACAAAGATTGTATTGAAAATTAGAAAAGGTAACATCGTAATAAATTATGACTGGTTAGATAAATATGGTGTGGCTTTTTAAAAATAAGGAAGACTTTGTCCAGTCATGTGATACTTGTTTTCTGTAAAAAATGATTTTCTTAAGTTAATGAAATTCTAAATGGTAAAAAATCCTGCCCGTTTTGTTTGTATGATAATAAATAAGTCTGCTGTTGCTTGTTTTTTGTCCATGTATTGATGAATTGCAGACTGTTTCTCAAAAAAGGTTTTGTACGAGTTTTATATGTCGGAATTAAAACGTAATATGCCCAAGGACATCCATCTGTTTATTGGTAAGAAATCTGATGTCTGCTCTGTTTCTTCTGAATCATAAAATGTTGAGCATAATGAGATAATGAACTTAGCACAGGTTTTACGAGTGTCGTGAAATCAAGGTCAAGGTCATTATGTGTCCTGAAATTAGGGTCAAGGTCATAATGTATGAATTTCAAACTTTATTTCTGCTGCGAATCATTATACAAATGTATATAATTATGTAAATATCAAAATATTATTTTTGTTTTCAGTTGTTGAGTTACTAGAAGGCGGGGCCGACCCGTCCGGTGAAGATGACAAGAAAAGGACGCCCCTTCATATAGCTGCTTCTCAAGGCTACCAACAAATAGGTATATATTTTTTTCAAAGCTTCATTTTTGTTCAGTTTTCAAAGAAAACAGCGCTGAATTTGAAATAAATTGTGAAATGGAAATAAAAATGTAAATGTCATAGTGTGACACAAATGTGTAGCCTCACCAGGACTCAGGCCCAGGTTCCCTTGTGGCTGTACTGACTGAGCTACCCGGCTGCTTACACATCATCATCTCCCCTAAATAGTGCACATTTTTGAACTGTGACAGAAATAAAATACCAAATTACTTTATCAGCATTGACTGCTAAAACATAAAAGGAGAAAAATATTTGCATTTTCTAAGCTCAATGTGCCTTTAAGGCATAATTGGATGTTAAGAAAAAACCCTTATATGTTATATCTTCTGGAAAAAGTAAATGTTATGGCAATCTTTGCACACTGGTCCTTAGTCATATTGTCCTTGATCATTGACCTAAACTTTGTTGAATACATGTACTTTAAAGTAAAGATGCGGAACCTGAGTGAAACAAAGTCCTTTTTCATTCTAACAACTTTTTCGAAAATATTAAAAAAATTATTCTGTGGTAAAAAACAGCACCACCCTATAAGAAACTGCATTTGACTTTCTTTTTCAGTGAAAGTGTTGCTTGATAAAGGAGCAGATCCAAATAAAAAAGATTTCATCGGGAACACTCCATTGCATTTAGGTAAGTGATTGCTTTTAAAGTTAGACTGTGTCATATTGATGCTGTATTTAACTCCCCTGACATGGCATAACAGAGTCACAGTCAACCATTTAGGGTGAACACCACTAAATACAATGTATTTATTCTTAGACATAGTCTCAATATTTTTACTGCAAGACCAACCAATTTTACAAATTGATATTACAAGTGTTGATCTAAGTGTGACTGTCATATAAATATAGGGTTAACGCATGTTTTTCCGTGTTATAACGTCTGCAGAGTCCAGAGGAACGGTTGGTGCCCGAGCCCGGTAGGGCGAGGGCTCCAACAGTTCCGAGGGACTCTGCAGACTTTATAACACGAAATAAACGTGCGTTGACGCTATTATAGCATAAAATTTTAAAACAAAGTCATGATGTATATTATATATAAAACACAAACATTAAATCCTTGTGCTTGAACGGTATTTATCCAACTCTACATGTTTTACGTATGCGTTTTATTTTTTCCGGGGCCAACAACTTGAGAACCGAACGAAATTTCGAATTTAAATTGATTTAACAAAGTTTAACTTTGGAGATATATTAACTTAAGAAAAACTAAACATTACTCTACCCAAGACAAAACAGACGCCTCAGAAATTCCTAGAATGATTACAGATTGGCGGTAGGAAAAAGATCAGTGACATCAGATTCAGAATCAGTTTTTTTTAAGCACACAAGTTAAAAAAAAATCAGGCATAAAACATTTTTCTCTCAAAGAAACATACAGAACATTTATCAATATAAACGTCAATAAAACAACTTTTTCTTATATTCATTTTGTGCTTTCCATTTTTGTAAGTTAATCGGGGGATTAAACTGAATGACAGATTCTATTTGTTTACATTGACAACTGTCCGTTTCTAAGAAAGGGCGACAACCAAGATAAGCGGCGATGTCTATACGCCGTATTGCCAGCATAATTACTTGAATGCTGCTCGCCGTTATGCGACTGAGGCCCTCGAATTAATAATTCCAATATAACAAGAGCGCATGACTCTGGCAAACAGGCCAAATCGACATTTTTTGTTTGTTTACTGGGCCCTGTATGTATTGCGCATAGGTAAAACCGGGCTATAACAAGAGCGCGTGACTATGTTAACGCATGGTTTTGGCCCCGTTATAACATGGGCAAAAGAGGGAAAAATAGCCGATTTTATGCTATAATATATAATAAGCCCTGGCACACAATGTGTTGGACTAACCTAGACAATGACAAGAAGTCTGTATCAAACAATAGTCCACTGTTTTCTACCACACATTATTTTCATTTGACATAAAAGAATGATTATGATGTTTAGGATTGAAGGAGATTAGAAAAGTATGGTTTAAACCTTACCTTGTTTAAAGCCAGTAATCAGCCTGAGCCACCAGTATTCAGTCTGGCCACCCTGACCAGGCTCAAGAAGTTCGAATTTGGTCATGGTTAGATTATTTTTAACAGAGTAATCCCTCTTGAACTTTGAAAAAAAGAAATTTTCATTCTACATTCATTAGCTCCCCAACAGCTGTATGCATTTAACTCAAATTTGATGTATGGATATGTCAAAGAAATGCACAGGTCTAGTTTGAAGTTGGTCATGGTTCAGTGATTTTTGGCCCCTTTAATTTAAAAAAAAAAAATAAACTGGAAATTTTCAGTTTCCGTTCAATATCTCCCCAACATATTCAACTCAAATTTAATATGTGGATATATCATAAGAATGAACAGGTCAGTTTCGAATTTGGTCATGGATTGATGATTTCTGACAGAGTTATCCCTCTTGAAATTTGAAAAAAATAAGAAATTTTTAGTGTCTGTTCATTATCTCCCCAACAGTTGTACACATTCAAATCAAATTTGACATATAGATAAGCAGGCCAAGTTTGAATTTTGACATTGTTTGATGATTTCAGACAAAGTTATCTCTCTTGATTGTTGGAAAAATTTGTAAGTTTCAGTTTCCGCACTCTTAATTTTGTGGAAAAGTATGTAAGGATGAAATTGCATGTGCAGGTATTTAACCAGAACATACAAGTCAAATTTGAATTTTGTTTTGGTCCGATTATTTTTGACAGAGTTATCCTCCTTGAACTTAGAAAAAAATAAGAAAATTTCAGTTTCTGCTCTAACTTTTGTAGGAATGTATGTCTAAGGTTGACATTGCTTGTGCTGGTATTTTACCAGAAAATACAAGACAAGTTCTAATTTGGTCATGGTCAGATGTTTTTTGACAGTTATCCCCCTTGAACTTGGAAAGTATTTTTAAAAAAAATCAAAATTTCTAATCATTATCTCGGCTACAAATTCGCAATATGCAATTTGCAAAAGGTTGACAGGTCTTTGATCTTTGTATAAAAATAGTTTGTGTTAATATTAAATAGTTTAAGGGCCTTGAACTTATAATGAAAAAGGGCCTTGAACTTAGAATGAAAAAATGGATGTTGCATACAAATTTGGAACTAAATATTGTTAGAACATGTGATACTTTAGCTGCATTTGTGGCATTCCTTGTCTTAAAAACAGTTCTTCTGAAACAACTGTATAATTCTTATTTGTAATGTTTTGATTAATAAATGTACAAAAAATGACACAGTTTGGTTGTTTACTTGTCAGGAAAATGTCAAGAAATTCTTTCTTGTTATTTTTATTCCAATTATTTTGAAGAAAACACTTTGTTAATAAACATCGTTAATACTGATATTGTAGTATGAAGTGAAAGGAAAAGAGTGAAAAGGAAATTTAGTTCGAGTAAATTTGGTTTAGGAAATTTAGTTCGAGTAAATTTGGTTTAAACATATTTATTTAAGCTCAATTGCGAAACAAGTTCTTGCAACTTATATTAATCACTTTCAAACACTAAGCCTCCAGATTTATAGTTGTTGTTTTTTTTTCAAATAAATTTAAAATGTTGTGATTTAAAACAAAAAAAGAACAAACAAAACACACACACGAAAGAAGATCACCTAAAGTGATGCTGGTGGCAGCTTATTCTACCCATGCAACTAGTTCAGACCAGTAAAGACGGCACCTCTTTAAAGTCTGATCATGGAACTGTTTACTGTTCAGTCAATATTTCTTTTGAAAATGTCCCTAAAGATTATGAATGGTTTGTTGAAATTAAAAGATGGGCATGACCAATTAAGATATTTAGTATGCAAACAATTTACCACAGATTTTACCTATAAAAAATGTGCCAGAATCATTAAAATGTGCTTAAATTACTCCTACATCCCTTCTCCTTTAGAAGTACAGTAAAAATGATGCCAAGTTATTTAATGATTTTTTGGAATATAAATAACTATGCACCTCTAAAACTGTCAATTCAATTTGGATTTTGAAAATATGTTTTCTGTTTTTGAGTATGGCTTTAATTCCACCGTGTTTTGAGGTATGCATAATTATTAAAAATAGAATTGTTATTATTATACCTATTAAAAGAGGAATTATGTAAGATAGCTTGACACATTTGTATGTATTTTAAATGTTTTTGTTTTCATATTCTGTTTTAGCGGCCTGTACATGCCAGATACCTGTTGTAACACTGCTGCTAAAAGCAGGTAAGCACTTTAGAAAGAAAAATTTCCTTTTTGTGTCGCCTTGAAAAGGCGACATATAGGGGTTATTTTTTTCGTCGGTGTCGGCGTCCCCAAAAGCTTGTCGGGACCATAACTGAGTCACTATAAGTCTGATGGACTTCAAACTTGGTATGCATGCTTCTTTCAATAACCCGAAGGGCAGTGCACAAGGACCGGTACTCTGCACTTCTTAATTTTTGAGTTATTGCCCTTTGTTAATTTTCATACTTTATTTTTGTCCGGGCCATTTCTCTTCAACTATAAAAGCTATGGACTTGAAACTTCATAGGATGATAGATCTCATTAAGAAGAAGTGCAGTGCACAAGAACCGGTACTCTGCCTTTCCTAATTTTTTCATACTTTGTTTTTGTCCAGGCCATTTCTCATAAATTATAAAAGCTATGGACTTGAAACTTCATAGGATGATAGATCTTATTGATAAGAAGTGCAGTGCAAAGAAATTGCTGCTCTGCACTTCTTATTTTTTGAGTTATTGCCCTTTGTTAATTTTCTTGTCCTGGCCATTTCTCCTAAACTATATTGTTCACAAGGCAACACATCCGACTCGCGGAGTTCTAGTTTTTAAAGAAATAATGATTTTTTTATACTTATGATTTCCTAGAATACTGTAAATGTTGTCTTTTTTTACATTCTACACTAGACTGTACAAAACAAATGATAATCTCCTATTTCCGCCCTTGCGTTTAGTTTATACATATTTATTTTAAGTTAAATTGTGTTGGAAGTTATATCCTTTCCTGGAACCAGTGAGTACTAATCAATGAATGTAAAGTTTCTTGCTCTAAGAAACAACAGCTTGCCCAAGACAGGGTTTGAACCCATGCAGCCAACAATCCTAAGATTACTAGTTCGACATGTTAACCTCTCGACCATGCCGCCACCCTTGTGTTTGCACAAGTACCCCTACTAAAGTTCCCATTTGTGCCTAAAATGGGAGTGATGGTTTATATATTAGGCATTTGTCTGTGCCTTAAGTGATTGGCCAGTGATTGAACCATGGTGTTTCTACAAATATTTCAGCTCATGTGGCTAAATAATTGCTCATTGATTTTTTTCCCAAGAGCCTGTTTGTATCTTAACTAAACTAATTTGGCATTGATTCTGAATAGGTGCCTGATTGTGCCAATAATAAAAATCCTTGTCGTTTGACTTAATATGATAAGTTTCATCAATTTATGGTGGTAAAACTACAATTCTAACACTATATGGCAGACATGTTGTTATGGACTGACATTATATTTTATCTATATAATTATATAGAGAGAATTTCAGTTCCCAATAAGTAACACCAAGAATCTGAGAGCCACACCCATGATAGTATCACCGTATTTGATCAGTCAATAACACTAGTGTTGAAATATGAATAACATAAGGATTGTCTAGTAATTATAACGATACCACTGTCCGTAAATATACAATCTAAATGAGCGCTGGGTGTGAATATCATGTGCTTTGTATCTGTTTCATTCTACGTACACTTTCTCACCTTTGCTCGCCGAATGACTAACAGCATAACATATGTGAGAACTTTTTTGTAAAGATCTTATTTCTATATCAATGGGATGTTGGAAAAACCTTTCTTTTCTATACAATAGTTATATACATGTAGTATGATGAAAAACAGGCAATTGTGTCTCATAGAAATGAAGGCTTTTGTATAATGTTAGGCATTGTGCTAGTCACGTGCAGACAAGCATATGCCTACATTTATCATTTTTCAACTTTATACACTAAATCATATTTTTTTTAACTTGAGTTCAAATCAACAAATGCCACTTTCTTATTGAATTTTTGTAGACAACAAAAGCTGCTTTAGTAAGTAGATTTATAGTAAATGACCATTTATGAGCATTTCCTCAAAGAAAATCCTACACCATATTTTGCATGCTAGACAATTACTTTGTAAATATACAGTGATAATATTAAAATCTTTCTTATTATTGTTATTAAAACCCCAAACAAAATGTCAAGCCTTTGTTATTAGGGGCCCAAACAAAATTGCAAAAATTCAAGCCTTCATTATTTTTGTTATTAAGAACACAAATAGAAAATTAAGCTTTTGTTATTAGTGTGATTAGGGATCCAAATGAAATTTAAAACTTTTGTTATATTAAGGACTCAAATAAGATACATTAAGGACCCAATTGGATTCAAAACTCTTTGCTATTATTGTTATGAAGAACACAAATTGAAATTTAAGTCTTTAATACAACTTTAATTTAGAACTTAATTTTTTATATTATATTTAAAAACTTTAATTTTCCCCCGCCGATGGAATCGAGAGGGGGATTTAGTTTTGGCATTGTCCATACGTCCGTCCGAATTTCATTTCCGGAGTAGTTCTCTGCAACTACGGGCTGGAATTCAACGAAACTTTATGGGAATCATCAATATCAAGAGGAGATGCACATATCGTCGGCTTGTTCTGGTCCGACCCTTTATCTCAGAGTTATGGCCCTTGATTAGTTATGTAGTATGCATATAGAGTAAAAATCATTTCCGGAGTAGATATCTGCAACTACTGGCTGGAATTCAATGAAACTTTATGGGAATCATCAATATCTAGAGGGGATGCTCATATCGTCAGCTTATTCCGGTTCAACCCTTAAACTCAGAGTTATGGCCCTTGATTAGTTATGAAGTATGCATATAGCATAAAAATCGTTTCCGCACTACTTCTCTGCAACTACTGGCTGGAATTCAACGAAACTTTATGGGAATCATCAATACCAAGAGGAGATGCGCATATTGTTGGCTTGTTCTGGTCAGACACTTAAACGTAGAGTTATGGTCCTTGATTAGTTATGCAGTATGCATATGGAGTAAAAATCGTTTCTGCGCTACTTCTCTGCAACTACTGGCTGGAATTCAACGAAACTTTATGGGAACCTTCAATACTAAGAGGAGATGCGCATATCGTCGGCTTGTTTGGGTCAGACACTTTAACTCAGAGTTATGGCCCTTCATTAGTTATGCAATAAGCATATGGAGTAAAAATCGTTTCCGGAGTTAAGTTCTCTGCAACTACTGGTTGGAATTCAACGAAACTTTGTGGGAATCATCAATATCAAGAGGAGATGCACATATCGTCGGCTTGTTCTGGTCAGACCCTTTAACTCAGAGTTATGGCCCTTGATTAGTTATGTAGAATGCATATAGAGTAAAAATCGTTTCCGCACTACTTCTCTGCAACTACTGGCGGGAATTCAACGAAACTTTATGGGAACCTTCAATACCAAGAGGAGATGCGCATATCGTTGGCTAGTTCCGGTCAGACACTTAAAATCAGAGTTATGGCCCTTGATCATTATGCAGTAGCCATATAGAAAAATATTTGTTTCCTCGCTACTTCTCTGCTACTACTGGCTGGAATTCAATGAAACTTTATGGGATACTTAGAGGAGATATGCATATTTAGTCGCCTTGTTCCAGTCAGATACTTATAACTCAGATTTATGGCCCTTGATTAGTTATGTAGTATGCATACATCTCATTGGCATTTCCAGATTTTACTATTTAACACACAAAGTTATGGCTCTGTTATTGCCCTGAATATTTATCAAGTTCAAAGAATATTACTGTTTATGCCATGATTATTATATAAATAAAGCTTAATGTCTTCAGCTGTTGTGTTAATAATAACCAGTACTCGGCGGGGGATATAAATTCAACGAATTTGCTTGTTTTTATTAAGATCCCAAATAACTTTTTGAGTCTTAATTTGTTGTAATTGTTATAGAGCCCGAATAAGAACACAGGCGTAAGTCACATAATCAAATATTTGACATAATGGGCATATATATATGTACATGATATTGTATAGTATATAGCATAAATAGAACATAAGAAAATTTAAGGATTTTTTATTATTGTTATTATTTTAGGACCCAGATTTCAGATTTTGAAGGCAATTACATAAGGCAAAATAAATTGAATCTTTTTAGCTCGACTTTTCTATGAAAAGGGGAGCTATCCTACTCGCCCCGGCGTAGGCGTCGGCGTCGGCGTTGGCGTCACACCTTGGTTAAGTTTTCCGTACCACCCCACTTTATTTCAGAAGTATTACAAGTATGGCTTTGAAACTTACCATACTTGTTCACCATCATAACCTCCATCTACAGACAAGAGTACATAACGCTGTCAAGGTTTTTGACAGAATTATGGCCCTTTTTTGACTTAGAAAGTGTATTGAGCTTGGTTAAGTTTTTTGTACCACCTCACTTTATTTCAAAACCATTGGAGGTATTGCTTTGAAACTGACCATACTTGTTTACCATCACGACCTTCATCAACAGACAAGAGGACATAACTCTGTCAAGGTTTTTGACAGAATTATGCCCCTTTTTGACTTAGAAAATACATTGAATATGGGTAAAATCCACTTATTGCCTTAACCCTTTGAGATATTGCTTTGAAACTTTTAATG